TTCCCTTGTCCCTCTTTCCCTCTATCCGCCCTGTGAGTATCAGATTTTCCAAACCCTTCTATCTCATTACGTGTCCTAGAAATTTCATCTGCCTCTTTCTGAAGTATAAGTTTCCTCTTTGTTTGCATCTGCTTCAAAACCTCATCGTTGCTCACATGTTTGGTCCATGATATCCTTAGCATCCTTCTGTAGAATCATACCTCTATTTCCATCGGTCTCTTTTTCATCTTTGAGGATAGCGTCCAACATTCTTTGCCGTAAAGGAGGACAGATATTACGTTGCAGTTGAGTACTCTTTTCATAGTTACCAACGAAACCTTCCTTACTCGTTTTGGAATGCGTCTTTGGCCATCTGAATACGTCTTCTGATCTCAGTGTCGCACTTACCATCTTCTGTCAGAACACTATCCAGATAGTCAAATGTCCGCACCTGCTTTATTATAATGTCCTCGACCTGTAAATCGCATTTCGGAATCATCTTTTTGCATTTTTCTCTTCTTGTAATTTATGCTAAATCCCTTCTTCCCGCTCTCCTTCGCTATCTTCTGTAGGATGTTTTGTAGTTTCCTTTCCATGTCTGCTATCAGGACTTTGTCATCTCCGTATTTTGTGCTGTTTAGATTGTGGCCGCCAATACAATAAAGGTATGAAATTTCATCATTCTAAAAACAACCTTTCCACCACAAGCAGTGTGGAAGTAGCAGTAGTAAAAAAAAAAACAACACCGACGCATCTTCTTCGCGCCGTGAAAATTTAGAGTTGACGCTTTCAAAAGCTTCCCTTAACCAAGAAATTCTCGGAACAATTATAAAGAAGTAAGCCCAAACTTTTAAAGAAACAAAAACAGGCAAACCCCTGAGAACATTTAACATACACAAAACAAATATTGTAAATAACATCATGAAAAGAAAAATCCACATTCTTGTCATTAATTTTAACACGTGTCTCAAAGTTTTATTGTTGTATGTTATTGTTTTACGTTTTATTCATTTCATTTTCATCATAAAAAAGAAAATGAATCGTTTATCATCTGCTAATACATTAATAACACAAAATTTACCGCGTTTCAATTTTTTAGAACAGCGTCTCAAAATCATCATCTGTCTAAGTACAAGTGAACAAAAAAAATCTCATTTTTGTAAACAAAACAAATTTGGAACAAGTATCAAAATTTTTGAAGCTTACATTACATCTTTGATTGTTTCACGTGGTTAGCAGCATATCAATACCCCCATGGGTTATTTAATCTAGAAATTTCGGACAGTTTTATCGCTTCAAATAAATATATCTTGAACGAAAATTGCATGCCTTCAAAGACAGATAAAATATATTGCAGATCATTTTGCTATAAAGAAGTATTTTGGGTCATTTTTTATATAAAAATTTACTGCTGGTATTTTTACTATGAAAATGCATTTTCAGACTTTCATAGTGTTTTGTTTTTGTTTAGGGGTTCACTACTTGCCCTTAGCTGCGACCCTAACAGGCGCTACCCCCCCAGGTCAGGATGGACCTGGTAAAAACAGCAATTAAGAGGTCATTACGTATTACTTAATATATAAAAATTTAAATTTAACAATAAAAATCCATGTTGTATTCAGGGCAAATCTCCAACAAATAAATAGCAGTTGATACAGCTGGAGGCCAAGCTAATTCTAACCTTGAAAACAAAACTACTGGAGAAATAGTAGTGAATACTTTTAACTATTCATTGTTTACAACAATACTTTTAAAAGAAAATTAACACGATTCTTTTCGAAAACCAGGAAATACAATTATATAGATACTAAATTAGCAAACATTTTTATGCTTAAAATTTTATCGCAAAAAAAAAAAAAGATGCCAACAACTTATCTCTCCGGTAATACAATAATCACAGTATCATTTTGTTGATCAGTTAGTGGTTACCTGACAACCATTACTCGAATGTTTTGTCTGCGAGAAACAGAAAAATTACATTTTCCTGTAATTTACCGAGTTGTTCAGTTTCCGCTTCAAAGTTATAACGACATTTCTCATAGGATGATAAAAGTACACTGGCGCAATTTTGAGTAGACAGGCGGTAGTTTAGTTCACAGATGTGAAAATGTAATAAGGTTTCCGAAGAAAAAAAATAAGCAAATAGTTTCCGCGTCACTAGAACTAAGTAAGTATAAGTGTATGTATCTATGCAGACTTGGTCCAATGCCGTCTGAAGGCCTAACGACTAAATAGGATGGGGACTATCTTGTAACATTCAATAGCCCAAAATCCAAGCTTTTAACGCTCAATCATCATCAAGCAGACCCTGGGTTTTCGCCTGTCACGATGAAAGGTTGTATTCTAAAGGCGGTTCATTGACTAGAACAACTATTGGGACTCAACTAATTGGGAATTCATATATATATATATATACAATCCATCGATAATAATATTTTGTGGCATGATGAACGTTTCTACTCGTAATAAGACTCTTTGATTTGAATGTCTATTAGGGCTCATGTCAAATCTCAAGCGGAACTCATGCATATAATCCATCGCTACAAATATTTTCTCTCAGAATGAATGTTTGTACTCTCAATTAGGCTCTCTGTCTTGAATATCTATTGAGACTCAAGTTCAGTTCAAGACACAAGTCGAACTCATGTATATAATCCATCACTACCAAAATGTTTGTCATGATGAAGGTTTTACTCTCAATAAGACTCTTTGCTTTGAATGTTTATTTGACTCAAGCTTGCGACAAACCTGAAGGGGAACTATCCATCAATACCAATATTTTCTGTCATGATGAATGTTTGTACTGTCAATGACGATCTTTGCTTTGAACATCTAGTGGGAGACAAGTCCACTCTAAATCTCAAGAACTCATATGTACGATCGATATTTTCTGTCTTGATGAAAAATTGTGCTCTAAATGAGGTTTTTTGGTTTGAATGTCTATTGAGACTCAAGTTTACTCCAGCAATTAAATGGAATTCATATATATATATAATCCATCGCTAAAGAGGCTGGAACAATTGTCAGTTCTTTGTCCCGCTCCAAAAAGTACCAAACTCCACCTACAATGCTCGATTTCACAAGAGTCAGATTAGACTAAATATGTTTTGCTGTCATATTTTGAGTGGACGACGTGTTTCGTCCTCTGAGGGAACTTATCAAGGTATTTGCATTGAAAGCGTCGGCTAAGTTTTCCTTTTGTTTTTATTCAGATTGTCCTTTTACACAAATATGTTCCATCTAATATATATATATATATATATATATATATATATATGAAGAAAAATATATACGGATACAACAAACAAAAATCCTTATATGCAATTATGTCCATCGTCTTTGTCATGTTGAATTGATAATGTTAATTATATTTTATGAATATGTCCTGAAGATGGTTTATTAGACCGAAACCTCTGACGTTGACATATTAACATTAAAACAGCATAATTGCATATAAGAATTTTTGTTTGTTTTTTCCGTATATATTTTTCTTTATACTGTCGGATCTATATCCATATATTTGCTTACTTTGAATAATCATAATTAGTTCATCGAGTCGAGAAGAATCCTCAACTGTATGCAGAAAGCACTGTACGGCCATTTCGTCCGATTTTTTCGATTATTATCAGTGCGCATCCACTACCGAGAATCGAACCCGGACCGTTACGATATGACGCAAGCGTTATACTCACTGAACAAACGGGTCTCAGGAGTCGATGCGCTCTACTGATGAGTGCCAAAAATAGGACGAAACTGCCTTCCAATGCTGTCTGCATTCTGTTGCCTTCTCTTCTAGACCCGATGAATTAATTATGTTATATATATATATATATATATATATATATAGAGAGAGAGAGAGAGATGCATGTGTATGTGTGTGGGTGCGTGTGTATGTGATAAAATTATAGTTCTAAGTCATGCCACATCTACTGGTAAAACTCCTCAATATCAAGCATAGAGATCTTGCAAATTCAAATACTGAGGTCAAATACAAAAGTGGACCCTGAGGTCAACACCAGAGACTGTTTCATAGGTAAACGCAATCTTCAGGCCCCCAAGGACAACCTGTTGTTGCTTGATATTGATCTCTGTACATTTTAGCATATATATATATATATATATATATATATATATATATATATATATATATATATTAGTTGATAACTACTTTATAATCTCAATTTTAATATATAATTGATAGAAAATAGAGTATATGAAGGTATCTAGATATGTCATGGACGCCAGTTTTGAGGTATAACATCTTAAACTTCATCTTAAATATGTGTAAAAAACCATATCCCTACTGATAACAAATCCGTTTTTTAACTGTCTGTTGTCGTAAACCCTCCTACAGTAGAATGAACTCTTCCTCCTCTCATAAATACTAACTGCGAGAGTCCTAGGGCAGTCGGTTGGGAAGCAGAGACGCAGTGTTAACCTACCGTTCGGACGTACACCTCTATCTGCTTATTACTAACACTCTTGCTTTGTATATACAATGTAACCCGGATATAAGAGAGTTGTCGGGACCGAAGAAGAAGTCTCTTATATCCGGGTTTCTCTTATATCCGGGTTTGGTCTATTTTATATACATTAACACAGGCTCTAATTTGTGACCAGAGAAAATCTGTCTTATATCCGGGTTTCTCTTATATCCGGGTCTCTTATATCCGGGTTACACTGTATCTGTTATGTCAGTACACTTGTTCAGCCTTCTCTCGTCTTCCATATCTTTCTTTCCAGGCCCCTAAAAAGGTCACAACTGTGTCATAGTTAATCTTTTCAGTTTTCGGTTATTTCAACTTTTATGATTTCAACTTTACGGGATTATGATTCTTGAGGATTGTGGTCTTCAGGATTTTTGTCTTGGGGAACTCTGATCTATTTGGATTTGGACATGAAGAATTATGGTGTACGGAATTGTGTTTTTTGGAATTATGCCTCATTGCGTCATTATTAAATTGATTGTTAAAATGTGATACCGATGATAAAGAAAAGAAAAGAAAAGAAAAGCTACTTACTGTTTCCTACTCGGTACAGTTCATAAAAAGCTGGAAATTCTCCCTCGTAATCTGTCTCCAAATCGGCCACATTGTGGTTGTACCAGGACACAGCAATGTCCTTCGGATTCCGAGAGATGAGGATGATCTTGTTGTTCTGCAAGATGGTCTCCGGCACCTGCTCTTTATAGATGTGGCTATTGAGGATGCGTGGGGACTCTAACTTCGCCAATGTCTCTTCATCGCTACACTCCAACATGTAATGCTCTTTTTCAACTTTGATGCGTTCTGCCTTGCCACGCAGTAACATACCCACCACCTCCCAGAGCCAGTGCGTCCCTACAATGGAAAGAGAGTAGTGAATAAGCCACAGGTGTAATGCATCGCTTTTAAAATTAAAATCTGGATAGCAACATTCTTTTGTTTTCAAATTAATAAGCTCAATTTACAACAAATCCGATTTACATTCAGTAGAATTATCACAGAGGATAGGCTACGAGGATCTCCTCAGTAGACCTAGCATAGAAATAAATACAATATGGGAGGCGTTAATAAAGAAATGAAAGCAAGACTGCAGAATCAGTAAGAAAAGGAGAAGCCCCAGTGAATGCGGTCAAGCTTGACAATCAGCAGCAATCTCAATAGTAGGAAGGTTAGACTTTAAGCGCCAAATTCTACACTCAGGATTGTCCCACGGTGCAGTAACGTAGTGGATTAAAGTCTTCGTTTTTGAATTTGTTGACACAGTAAGCGGGATTTCTGAACCGGAAAATGCGAACAATAACTGAACAGTACTAAATAAAAACTAAACAAGATATCTTTAGCTATGGACACTGGAACGAGAACAATCTGTAAATGGTTCAGTTCGAAATGTCATGAAGATTAATATGATCGAGAAGCTCCAGATGAAGGCCGGAGGGTACAACGGTCGAAACGTTGTGATAATAACAACAAAGATTCGGACAATAGTCCGGACGTAAATAATGATGACACCTCATCCCATAAATTCAGACAGAAATTATTTTTTATCTGTTGATATTTTTTAATCAGATTCACCCCAAGCAATGCAGTAAAGCGACTAAGACACAAGTGGTTAATGGGTGTAAAAGAATTAGAAAAACAGAAAACATTATGGTGATCTTCTAGGTGTAGGTTAGATGTAACACAAGGCTGAAAGTATAGGGCAACCAGTGAGAATCAAACTCAATATTCAATCGTAATTGTTCTAAAGATACAAGCTTGCTAACCATTACACCATGTCGAGGTGCAAAAAAAAAAAAAAATTATGAAGGAGTGGGAACAATAGAAGTGTAATCAAGAAGACCGTAGATAACGATTGACATTGCATATACAGGATTGGTTAGAAGAATATTTAGGAGAAAGTGAAAAGAGTCATTCTTGGAATTAAAGCCTTTCGACAAGTTAAAATATTTTGGTTGTCCTTTATTTCATTAATTTATATTGGATTTTCAAAATATATATTTTGAAAATCAACATTGCATACATCCCGTTACATATAGCTTGCTTACATTTACCTTCCACTGTGATCTAAATACTAAGATCGTTACTAATTTGAAAGTTTTTTTCTGAATAACTAAGAAACACAATTATAAAAGCCACCAGTAATAGAATCATTTATGGTTTTAAAAACTCACGAAAATAAATTTAAAAAAAATTTATTAAAAAAACTAAGTTGTGTATGCAAATTAATTATTTCTGTTGAACATTCCTTAAGTTGGACAAGATATAAGACACATGCTGTAAAATATAAATGACTGAACTGCATTTTTGTGGCGTCAAATTTAATGAATCCGCTTTCGCCTAGTGTTATCATTTTACCCCGTATTTCTCAAAAATCAAAGATTCCCAAAAACCTATGTCCCCAGTAAAGACTAAAAATAATAGTTACAATTAATGAACAACAGGAAAATGTTAAAGTAATGGCGACAAGGTATCATCTTTCTTTTAAGTATAAATTTATAAAACTCTTCGAGTAATTGACTCATTTGTTTTTTACAGCTTATCAACCCTTTGTGGGTTATTTAAAGTTGAAATATATTTGAATTGTAAAAATAATTCTTTTTTTTTTGCATTAACAGTTTTTTGAGAATAACAACAATTTTTCTAGATACAAGTCCTACTATTTAATCCATACCTGGGATAAAAATTAGAAGGATTCATACCTTTTCCAAGAGTTTTTGCACATAAGTAAATATAACGAACTTGACTGAAATTTGAACTAGACTCTTCGATTTCTCATTCCGAATCGCTCTCCATTACACAACCCGCACATCCACCCCCTGTCAAAGTCAAGCTTTCTAATATGTTGAAGGGATTTTATATTCAGGATACAAGTTGTATTTTGCTGGCTTGGAAAAGAGATAAAAATAAGAATTTTTGTGTAATACGTCTTGTATTATATGAAGATTCTTATTTTTATTTCTTTTTTATAATCATCACTAGCTTGGCTGGACTGAAGTCTGTTCATATTCTGTGCTATGTAGAAATAGTTTAAAGGTAAATAATATATTAAATATTTCAACCTTATATGTGATTAGCAATGTAGTCCGTTTTCGCATTTCCCTACATTAATTTCGGCAAACGTGGACCTTTGTGCCGACAATAAGACGGAGTGTCAAAAGAACGGTTTTTGCCATGACACCATTTATATTTTAACTATCTTCACTCTTCGGTAATGTTAATTGCTTTAAAAAGTTATGATTAGAATTGAGATAAAACCTAAACTCATGAAGGTGAATTTATACTGCCATATAGGAGGATTATATTACATAACAGTTCAACAGTATTTTCTTTGTTTCTAATAAAAGTTTATTGATACTTTGCTTAGCTTTTGGAAGTCATCTTTTGCTCTTCCAATGCGCCGTTTGTTTTCGGTGTTATATTTCCCGTTATATGTTAAAAAAACTTCCCAGATATTTAAATTTTCTATCTTGCTTCATTTTGACATCTCCAATTCGTAGCTTGTATTCTGGGCTCTTCTTCTTCCTGGAAATCATATATTCTGTCTTTTTGCAACTGATCGTTAGTCCTTCCTTCCTGCTTTCCTTTACTACCTTGTCTAGGACTTCCTGTAGTTTTCTTTTTGTGTCTGCCATCAACATATTGTCATCTGATATCTTATGTTGTTAAGATTGTGACTAGCGATAATAAATTCAGGTAGGGTAACCCTTAGGACAGACTCACTGTAAGGATTGAATAAATCCGGTGAGAAGAAAGATCCTTGTCTTACGCCCCTTTCTATTTTTGTACTTCATTTATTTTATATCCGTACACAAGCGGTATGCGCCCAATATAAATTCTGGCTTATTCTAACATTCTTCAAATAAATATTGTCTCATCTAAACTAAATAGAGTTTTCCTAGTAGTTCAAATACATCCTTCTGCTCTACATTATGAAATGCATTTGCGTAATATACGAAACATAAATATACGTCCTTCTACATGTGTATTGCTCTCTCTGAAAACATGTTGCAGTAGACGCAAGCATATGTCAGGAATGGTTTCCAAATTTAAAATAAGAGATTCTGACATCAAGAACAAGGAACGGTCTGGAAGAATTCAGTAAATGGAAACTGATGAATCTCGTTTGAATGATCTATAACAACAACCTTTTCTGAACAAGTTAATAGTCGATTTTATTGCCTGAAAATAGCAGCCGTCATTGCAAATACAGCACAATAGATTATCATCGAATTCAAATGGGAAGTTTTTCCATATCTAGTTTATTATTCTAACCTGTCACATTCGAACTATCACTTGATTTGATCCAAACAATCCTCCTTGTCTGATAAACAACTCAAATAAGTTGCATATAACGAAACAATTCGCGGGTCAATATTGAAAACGTTCTCTTAAGAAGGAATACATATTTGAAATGAAAAGTGATGAGAAGTGATAGAAAAGCAGGAAAAAAGTTTTGATGGCAGAATAATAATAATAATAATGATAATAATAATAATAATAATATGAATCTATATATGAATTTTAAAGTGGTTATTAAAAACAGATAAATTAAAATATCAAAACTGAAATTAAATTAATTGATACAAGACTGGTAACAGTGAAGACTTTCAAGTACCTTGGTTAAATCTTATTAAACAAAGGTTAAAATTCCGAAATTCTAGCAAGGATTGCCCAAGCAACAGCTACATTCACAAAACTTCTAAGCATCTGACAAGAACTGAGTTTACCGCTAGATGCTACAGTTTGTACGGACATGTACATCAAAGAAAATAACATGGTTATATTAAAAGTATAGAGTATGCAATGTGCAATTATAGAAACACTAATCTCTATACATTTATATACAAAAATAATTGAAATTAACATCGACTAAAAACCTAAAATGGCGTTTCCTTTTTTTATATAAGCAAAAGACTGTCTAGCAGTGTAGAAAGAAGAACAAAGGATTTGCCTGTCGTTCAAAATGGCCACTATTCAACTGCGTTTTCTCTCATTGCTGACTGTTGATTGATCTAATTTCGTTTATTGATTGGTTATATGTCTATTTCCATAGGAGTTTTAAAATGAGGCAGCTGTTTCCTCGTTTTTCACTCTTACAGGTATAGTGGTTTAGAACCACCTGATTTCAGTAAGAAAATATTAATGCTATATAATAATTTAGCACAGCTTTATTCTACGTATCAAAGAAAACGTTTTTTATCGATTTTATTCTGTATAGCAAAATGAATCTGAAAACACAGGCTGTTTTTGACAAATGCTTGAATTCAATCCTGACTTAGACACTCTGCTCTCAAAATAATCCCCATGACAAAAAGACTGGCTGAAATAAATACATTTCCTAAAATAGTAATTATCCAAGCAATGGCAGGTAAGAAATCCATTTCATGCAATCAATCGATGCACTGCTATCTATTGCAATTTTCTTTCATTACCAAAGCAAACTTACCAATCGTTGAGAAGTCTTTACTGTAAACTAACTTCGATGAAAAACAATCGATTAAATGTAGTAATGGAAACATTTCCCAAATCAATAAAAAATTAAAAACGTTTATCCATTTTCAAGAGATTTTTTCCAAGCAACATTATGTGACCATCAACATTATTAAACAACCTTACACAACTGTCAACATTATTAAACAACAATACGTGACTATTAACATCATTAAATAAAATTGTGGCCATCAACATCATTACATATTTTTACGTGATCACCAACATTATTAAACAAAATTATGTGAACATCAACATTACTAAACAAAATTATGTAATCATAAACACTATCAAATAATATTACGTAACAATTAACATAACTAATCAATATTGTGACAATCAACATTATTATTTATGCGACCATTAGCATTATTAAACAACGTTATGTGGTTATTTAAAAAATATTATATGACCATATTGATATTAGGGAGCATCAAACATGTAGAATATTATAAAAATAATGAATATAAATAATTCTATGAGCAGGAAATATTTCAATTTATTTATAGACACAATTAGAAAAGAAATCAAAAGCAAGATCAAACTACACTATTTACATTATTCGAACTATTGTCCTCATCTTTGTTGACATGTTTATCACAACGTTTCGGCCGTTGCACGCTCCGGCTTTCTTCAGGTGGTTGCAATGTCGAACTTTATTTCGCTAACTGAGATAGACTGTTTTAGTTCCACGTGCCTTGTCTAATGGATGTCAGTTATCAGTTATCTTCTGTTAATTCACCTCTCCAAGTTTCTCCGCCGCCTTAACAAGGTATTGAACTCACACAACTTAGGTCATGTCACTGGATCTAACCAACGCCTTTATCCACTGTTCCATGTGTCCTTGAGAAATGTAGACAGGTATCAAAAGTTGTGGAGATCCATGGTCGTTCACTACCTGACAGGTCATGGCATCTAGAATTCTTGAAGGGACGTAGCATCTACACCAAGAACGAAAGAAAAGGCAGTTGTAGAGAGACATGGTCTTCTAAGAAGCATGTTCTTTTAAGTCCTGATAGGACATGACGCATAAGAAAAAGAACTGGAAATATGTGTGCAGAATTACGGTTAGGTGTAATGGATAAGGGTTTTAGAATGAGAAATCGGAGGTCAGAGTTCTATTTTCAATCGGGTTCATTTCAGTCGCTTACGTACAAATACCCTTGTCTCTTTTTATTTCAGCTTTTAGTCGAATGGTAGGACAGACAGGCTCCTATAGCCTTGTTTGTTAACCAGTCTACTACAAAGAAACGGTAGCCTACTGTAGGAAATTTTCTGCCTAGTAATAAATTGAAAGAGACATAATCGCCCAAGCGTGACATGTGTTTCCTTAATTGCTTCTTGAATAAAGGGTAGGGGTTAAACAAAATAGTAGAGGTTTTTTTTTTTAATTTTTAATAAATGTCTAAAATGTTTTATACCTGAGACAAGATTTCAAAATGGGGATAATTAGTCTTACTTTTCGGATAAACTGCGGTTATGCTTATTTATATTTTGAAAATTAATAGAACCACCTCGTTCTTTAGTCAAACGTCTGTTTATTCGAGAGATAAGCGACAGGATCCAAAGAGTGTGAGTTCAATACCTAGTTAAGGCAGTGGAGAACTTTCAGAGGGGGAATTAACAGGAGATAACTGACATCCATTAGACATGGCACGTGAAACTAGAACAGTCTACCCCAGTCAGCAAAATAAAGGGTGCAGTTCGACATTCTAACTACATGAAGAAGGCCGGGGCGTACAACGGCCGAAACGTTGTGATAAATATGGCAATAAAGATGAGGACGATAGTCCACGCAATGTAAATAGTATACATAATACCTCATCTCAGAAATATAGAGAAAGATCAAACTAAATAACCAGATCTATCGCTTGTGTCCGTAATATTTTGGTTCATTCAGTGAGTCAAACAGGACGGAAATATTTCGCAAATAAAATAATGCCGGTTATCTTATTTTAATCTCATAAAATCACATAAGATTTTATAAACTCAATTATTTGCTGGAAACACAAAGACCGTTTCAGTGACATCGACTAAATAAGCAATGAAGTCAAAGTTACATTCCTCCCCCTTCTTTGTAACGCTTCCCTTCAGGACATGGGTGGTCATGGCTCTCCACAACTTTCTATTCTTCGTAGCTCTAAGCAATACTTTCCCCCCTGACTATTCCTACAAATAATAATCCTTCTATCCACTTATACAAGGTCATTAGGTAAGTTACTCACTGTTTCTTTATGGTCTCCTCTTATTTTCACGATGTCCTGTGAGTATCAAATTCTGCAAGCCCTCTTTCCTCATTATAAATTTCAACTGTCTCATTTTAAAATCTAAGTATAATTGTCCTTTTTATCTTTATTTATCTTAAAACTTCCTTGTTGATCCCACATTCCGTCCATGGTATTCTCAGCATCCTTCTGTAGGACTACATCTCTGTTGTCTCAAGTCTCTTCAAGAAATTAACTGTTAAATAAACTGTCTCAATTTAGAAGCCATCAGTGTTACAATACTTTGTTTTAAGTTTTCTTTTATCTCCTTTGTAATGGTCATCGTCATTGTCGAATTTCTTTTAAATTTTACAGATGACACGTCGCCAAATTGCGACGTATGCGAACATACAATAAGAAAAATAAAACTGGTTGAACTAATATAAAGAAATTTAATTATTTCAAACTTAACAGTCATTTTCTTTTTTGTTTTTGTTTTATTTTCATTTTGCTAATTTCTACTCTTGATATCACATACCTCCGAACATAGTCATTTTTTTTTTCATTTGATTCACATAGGAAGCCACCTCTCTATCTTAATGCTTCGTTTGAATTTTAGTAAGTATACTTTTGCATCATCGTCATTGAAGTATGTCCTTTAAATTTGGCAGATGATATTTTACCAGATTGCCTTTAGCTCACGACTAAGACATTTTGGTGTTATCCGTTCTTGATCAATTATCAAATGAGTTGGGATCAAATATAGATCGGATTCCGACAGATCAAAATCTAAAAGATATGGTACGTATGTAAAAATGTTCCCAAATCAACATGCGAAAAAAAAATAATAGTAATAATTAAACACGGACATTGTATGACACATGGCCAAATCGCGTTGCTTAAGATTGAGGCATTTTGGTATCATCCATTTTTGCTCAGTTATCGATTCATCATATCCTGTGAGTGTTTATTTCTCCAAGACTTCTTTCCTCATTATGCGTCATATAAATTTCAATTGTCTTTTTTCTGCTCCTAAGTACAAGTATCTTTTTAGATTTCATTATCCTTAAAACTTCCTCGTTACTCACATGTTCTGTTCATGGTATTCTCGATGCCCTGAAACACATTTATAGCTAAAGAGTCATTGTTTGAGATGAACATACAATAAGAAAAATAAAACTGGTTGAACTAATATAAAGAAATTTAATTGTTTCAACCTTTTCTTTTTCCTTTTTCGTTTTTGTGTCATTTTCATTTTTGCTAATTCTTACTCTCCATATTAGATACCTCCGAACATAAAAACATTTTTCATTTTTCATTTTTTTTGTTTTCACACAGGAGCTCTCCTCTCTACCGACCAACACAGCAGAAGGACTTGACACGTCGAAGATTAATTGAAATTCAAGTGGTTTCAGTCGTTAATGGTGGTTTTCGAGTTTGGGTCAAAGACCGCAGAAGTGTTTATCGAGAAAAGATTGTGTAAGCTGGTTGGGTCGATGAACGTTAGGAATAACTGTTCCGTTGAAGCTGAAGAAGCGTCATAGTTCAGAAGAAATCTGAAGAGTAGCATCGAACTTCTTCGGACTTCTGGAAATTATACTGGATTTTCTCTTCTTTTTACTTCTTTCAATATTTGCCTCATCGGACATAAGTCTTAGAATCACCAAGTGTCTGAGACGCCTGCGCAAAGAATTATTGATAGATAACACTTGCTTTGACAGATGTCACACACACGTGTGCTGGCACACATACACATTCATGTGCGCTCACAGAGAGAGAGAGAGAGAGAGAGAATGAGAGAGAGTGAGAGTGAGAGAGAAGTAATCATTTACATACATACACAGACATTCACAGAGAGAGAGAGATAGAGAGAGTGAGATGGGTGAGAAAAATCATATATTCACAAATATACAGGGAGAGAAAAAGAATCCTTCACACGTGCTCTCTCTCTCTCTCTCTCTCTCTCTCACACACACACACACACACACATACGCGTGCAGACTCACCTTCACACAAGGAGAGAGAATAACATTCACACAAAACATATACAAATAGATAATAATATTTATATACCAGGTGTAACAGCTAAATTGTCCAAATCGTGTAACAGCAAAATTGCCCAATAGTTAGCTTTGAACCGTTGTATCTCAGAAATGATTAAAGATATTTTACTGGAATTCTCCGAGGTTTTATAACACTATTGGACTCTATTCTGAATAATAAGAAAGTTGAAATGATGATCCCTCTTGCTGTTGTGACCTCCTAATCCAGTTTTCCTCTCTACTGTTCCCTCTTTTTTTAAAACTTATTCACTGTTCTCTTGATGGTTCTTGAATGTAATTTGAAGATGGAAGCCAGAGTATGAATTTTGGTACCCTTACTAAAGGCTTGGGTTATCTTTTTCCTCCCACCATTGCTCAGTTGGGAAGACATAGTGGGGCTGACACAAAATGATTTTAACCTGTTCTCTTTCTAGCTGAATGGCTCAAAGGGTTTTTCAGTGATTCTTACGATAAATGTTGTCAAGTTGACTAAATGTCTTATCTGAAAACCTGCAAAAAAGAATCTCAATTAGTTTAGTGGCGTTTTAGATATTAAACATTTTGTGGGATGGACAATTATCGCATGCTGTTATACGATTTGGTCAATTATGCTGTTACACCCGATATATATATATAAAAAAAACACATGCACAGAAAGAAAATAACTTTCAGAGAGAGAGAGAGAGAGAGAGAGAGAGAAAGAGAAAGAGAGAAAGAGAGAGAGAGAAAGAGAGAGAGAAAGAGAAAGAGAGAGAGAGAAAGAGAGAGAGAGAGAATACCCTTCATACATATAGATTTGCTTTCACACACAATAAAGAAGAGAGCGAAAGACTGAATCGCCTTCTCCTTTTCTTCTAGTGGGTCTTTTAGAGCGAGCGAGGTTCTCTAGTGCTTGCTCCCCGCCCACACACACACTTAGGTATGCTGTTTCTGGCTCGCGAAGTTCTGCTGTCATGGTTTTCTCTTTACGCCTGTACAACCACCTTATTCAATAACCCTCTACCTTGATTGTCTCTTGGGCCTTGTATTAAATATAAAAAATAATAATATAAATCACAAAAATAAGCACCGTCCATACACAAAGTAAACATCTTAAAAATCGTTTGCGTCGTGGGTAAAACGATAAACTACATCTAACAGCAAGGCCCCTGATCAGGAGGTTTTAGGGAACATGAAATCACCTCTTAATTGCAGATGCACCCTCACCCGAGGTGGCAGCATCTATCAGGGTCCCAGCTATGGGCAAAGAGTAACCCCCCTCCAAAAGGTGTCAAAACACTATGAACGTATAAAAATAGGTTTTAATAACAGCAATACTTTTCTGGAAAATTATTTACCAGCAGTACATTTTTTCAAAAAGAAAAATATTACCAAAAATATATTTTAAAAAAATATTACCAGCAAAAAAAAAAATCTTGTCGTCATTAAAGAACCCATTTAGGTTATATGCCGTAAATCATAACAAACCAAACCAAACCAAACCAGTAATACCTTGCTAAGTAATACCCCACTAGTACTGTTAGAGTCCCAGATATGGGCAAATAGTTAATCCCGAAGCTGGGATCAAAGCGTGTAAAAATAAGTTTTAATATCAGCAAAACATTTTTGTAAGAAATTATAATCAGTAAAACATTTTCGGAAAAAATATTACCAGCAATAAAAATCTTGTCTGCATTAAATGACCCATTGAGGTTGATATGAACAAAATAAACCAAACAAACCAAAACTCGTTTAATAAGTTTCGCAAGTTTGACAAATTTCCTTTCACTTTGTGTACTTCTTTTTGTGCTTTTTGACTGAATCATATAAATCAAAATGGTCAGGTGATTTAATCTCGTCTCAACATGTTTAATATTCTTCTTGAGTAGTCATCTATCGAATGTTTTTGTTTGTTTGTTTTTACTTTTTAAATAGGAATTACAAGAATGAAAGCAACCAGGGGGTCTAAATTCTTCTGAATTTATTTAATAACCTTCTTAAGTGACCATTTCACAAATTTCGTTTTTTTTTCTTTTTTTTTTTTTACTTTTTACTTTTTCCTTTTTTTGTTTACTTTTTCATAATTCATGTCAGCGAATGTAACCAGGAGACCTACAATTTTCTCGACATGTTTAATAAGCTTCTCAAGTGGACATTTAACGAATTTCTTGGCTCAAAGTAATTTACCGAGGACGACAATAGACAAAGAAAGAAAGAAAGAAAGAAAGAAAGAAAGAAAGAAAGGAAGGAAAATGAGTAAAAGAAAAATAGATAAAGAAAAAGAATAAAAAAACGAAAAGGAGAGAAATAAAGAAAAACAGTAAGAAAGATTACGAAAGAAAGGAAAAAAGATACAATGATTGATCGATTCATTTTCTACGGCTTATCAACCCTTTGCAGATTATTTAAAGTCAGAAAACATTTTTGGATTGTAAGAACTTTTGGGTTGCGGATATAATAATCATTTAGAAATAGAAGTTTTACTAATTAACCCATACCTGGGAGAGAAGAGGTTGGTCATACCTTTCCTAAACGTATTTTCACGTAAGTGAATATATAACGAACCCAACTGGAATTGGAACTTGACTCTCTGATTAACAATCTTGAGCCATTATACATTACACCACCCGCATATACAAGCTTAAAAAGCTACAATGAAAGCAAAGAGAAAGAAAGAAGAAACGAAATGCAGAAAAAAAGAAAGGAAAAAGAAATGTATATCTTCATTAAGAAAAAGCATGAGAGAGAGAGAAAGAGAAAAAGAGAAAGAAAAAGAGATAGAGAGAAAGAGAGAGAGAGAGAAGACAGTGGCGTCAAAGAAGTAAGCAATTAAAAAAGAAGAAAAGAAAAACATAATGTATTGACAGATATAAAAAAAACAAAAAGAACATTATTTGTATTAAGGAAAATTATTTGTATTATTGAAGCAAAGGAAAAGAAAGGAAGAAAAACTAAAATAAATTGAGCTGAAAAATAAGATAAAATGAGAAATTTGCACAATGGGAATTTAATGAAAGTTAATAATGGCGACAAGGTCTCTTGGGATTTTTATGCTGAAAAAAAATGGAAAAATTTGGCTCTGCCTTTCTTTTCGATAAAAGCAATCCATGAATGGAAAACAATGACAAATAAAGCAGAACAGATTTTCCGAACAGATACACAATAAATTAATTATGCAAAACACCATCTCCCATATGAAAGAGAGACGTCATGGTGTTAAGATAAAATTTTAAAAAATGAGCAATAAATCTTAATGTTTACAGGAGCCAAGAACACTCATTCGTACGCACTATTTACAAATTGGTATTCAGAAAATAAAGAAAATATCTGTTACGTGAGTGTAACACGTGACATTAGTATGACGTCACAGCTTCATTTTTATTAAAAACTGGGTTTTGCAACATGGTGGTTAGTTTGAGTTGAGTTGGGTAGTGTCGAAACAGACGAGGAAAAAAATGACACCGAAATCCGAAGGCGCATTGAAATAACAAAAGATACCTTCCAAAATCTACACACATTATTAAGAAACAGAAAAAAATCGTTTGTAAAAAAGAGCGCTGAACTGTTACGCAATATCAATCCTTCTATATGGTAATGAGTGCTGAACAATTTCCTCACCGATAAACAGGAGACTTGTGGCAACAGAGATGTGGTTCTACTGAAGGATACTGAGAATTCCATGGACCGATCATATGAGCAATGACGAAGTTTTAAGGGAAATGGAAATAAACTGGACACTTGTGTTTAATATCAAAAAAAGACAGTTGAAATTTCTGGGATAAATGAGGAAAGTGGGACTAGAGAATCTGACACTCACATGTCATATCGACGTTAAGAGGAGCAGAGGGAAAGAGTGAGTAACCTTGCATAAATGGATGACAGAACAGGAAGTTGTTTTTAATCATTTCCTCCCAAGTAAGGCAATAAAGCCACTATTACGCAATGGAGGTTACTGAGTGTGAGAGAATATGAAAAAAAATCTAACATTTGGTTCAAGAGCACTATGTATATCTCTATATATAAAGTTGTAGCCTCTGTCTGTTTGTTTGTTTGTTATAGAACTCATCCTAGGGCTTTATAGATGGACCCCCCCATAAGCATATATATTCTGAAACTATATTACCCAATGTTCTTGGCTAAGTATATTTCACTTTGATTAAAGGGGGTCTCCAGGGAACACAACCCCTCCCCCACTGATTTTTTTTTCCTTTGATTTAAATTAAATTTAGATTTGAACAAGGGAATGACTCATATCAAAAATATAGGAGAAAGCCAGAAGATGGAGATCACATTGGCAAGATCAAAATAATACAATATGGACGTCAAGTTGAGCAAGAAATCACCACTCTGTGGATAGTGCCTTACAATACATATTCGTTGCAACAATTCAATGAAATCTGTTCATCAATTCATGCAATCAAGTATTGCATCAAATACATATCAAAGAGGTAGATCAAGCTGTTTTTGCACAAATCACACCCACTGAATTTTTTCCCCTTGATTGAAATTAAATTTAGATTTGAACAAGGGAATGACTCCTATCCAAAATATAGGAGAAAGCAAGAAGATGGAGGTCACATTGGCAAGATCAAAATGAGACAATATGGACGTTAAGTTGAGCAAAAAATCACCAACCAGTGGGTAGTTCCTTACAATACATATTTGTTGTGACAATTCAACTGCCATATCAATGTTGAAATCTGTTCAAGTCATTAAATCAAGTATTGCATCAAATATATATCAAAAGGGTCGGATCAAGCTGTTTTGCCCAAATCACCCCCCACTGAATTTTTTCCCTTTGATTTAAATTAAATTTAAACAAGGGAATGATTCCCATCCAAAATATAGGAGAAAGTCAGAAGAAGGAGGTCAAATAAGCAAGATCATTGAGTAATACTGAAATGCATCATTTTTCGCCAAAAATTATATCAATGATTTAAAATCAATCACCTTTTTCTTAGGAAAAATGTGTGTTACGCAGCATGGCGCGGGTAATTCGGCTCGTATAATAATAAACACGAATAAAAATTATTAGAAACGCAAAAAAAGCAAGAAATCTTACAAGAACTAAATTGCCGATAGGGATCAAGGACGGAAGGGAACATATCAAAATAAAATTTCTAACCCAATGAAAGAGTGGGGCTACAATCTAAAAAGAGACACATATCTAATCTGTTACTAAAAGTTTCATGCGAAGTTATAGCTTGATTGTTTAACGGCATATCAACTCCTTATGGGTCATTTAATGCCTAAATTTACTTTTCTTAGGAGCTTTGAAGTAATAATATGTTATTCTGCTTTGACAATGGATTGTAGTTATTTTTTTTACTCTAAAAATGTATTATTGGTATTTTTACTCTAAAAATGTATTTTTATACATTCATAGTGTTCCGATTCAGTGGGAGTTCACGATTTGCCCATAACACATGCTACCACCCCAGGTCAGGGTGGATATGGGAACAGCAGCAATTAATAGATAGTTTCACGCTGCTCAAAACCTCTCGATTTGATGTCTTGCTGCCGGATGTAGTTTATCGTCATACACAGGAAACTCAGGCGAAGTGAATTCGATCTTCATATAGCTACATATATATGAATAAAGGCAAGACAATTTATCCTGCTACAGTCCATCAGAGAACGAAACGCGTTGGTAAAGAAAAGATTTCCTTTTTGTCTTTATTATTATTGCCTTTTTACGGATATATTTCATTTTTATCTCAAATTTTACGCACATATATACATATATATATATATGGTGCATCAAAATAATTTTACCAAATTTGGGGGCGGGTTCGTCAAACCAAAACAAGGACGGATGTCCATATAAACATGTTTATACAAATACTTCGTTTTTGAGTTATTACGTTTAAAGATTATGGTAGACGCTGGTAAATGTGCAATCGGTTTTCCTCGATGTATAGTTTGTGGTGCCACGGATGCTGTTTCAGCAAGGCGTCGATAAACAGCAGCAAAAGTTGGATGACTCGGCTGACTTCGGTCTGGAAACGCAATCTGATACAGCCGTGCAGCCACGCGTCCATTACCATTCGCGCGGCCGTATGTAAAAATCATATCTGCCTGCTCACGATATGAATATCCTGCGTTGTTAAACGAAACACTTAACTCACTACTACACACGTTAAATATTGAAGACAGACAATCTATAAATATGCACGAATGACAAATGTAACTCAGGCTACATGGCAACACAGCGCCATCTATAGTAAACTTTCTTTACACTTAATTACAAAAACAAGATTTGTGGACGCATGTTTATATGGACTTTTGTCCTTGGTTTGGTGCGAGGAAGCCGCCCCCAAAGTTTGTCGCAGTAGTTTTAATAAACCCTGTGTATATATATATATATATATATATATATATATATATATATATATAGTAATTCGTCGAACCTAGAATAATCCTCAACAGAATGCAGAAAGTGTACGGCCGTTTCGTCCTATCTTGGACTCATCAGCAGTGCGCATCCACTACCGAGAATCGAACCCGGACCGTTTTGATAAAACGCAAACGTCATGCCAACTGTACGACGGGCCTCGGTGATGAAGAAGACATAAACTTTCTGCATTCTGTTGAGGATTATTCTAGGCTCGACGAATTACGACCTGATTATCCTAAATCCCCAAAATAATCACACACACACACACACACACACACACACACACACACACACACACACACACATATATATATATATATATATCGAAACACAATCGGAATTGGTAAATTACAACTATGATAAAGATGGCAATTAAAAGTGTTCAATACGAGGTAGAGCCTATAAAACGTAAAAGAAATGAATAATAAAAAAATAAAAGCCGAGGCAACTGAAGTTTTGCCTTCAAAAATGATAGATCATCAGGCCACGTCCAATCTTTATCCTGATTGATGCTCGTGGAAATACAGCAAACATGCAACATTGTTCAGATTGAGTAGGCATCGTAATAACAATGCTCTGTCTCTATATATTTGAGGTAAAAGATGAAACAGATGAACAAAAAGTCCAACCGAAAGTAAGATGCAGCATAGTAAAGAAATGTAAGAGCTATGCAAGAGTAGAGAAGCTTTGCAAATTTTGAGGGGGGGGGAGTTAGCGATCATGATGTTTTCCAAGTCAGGCTTGCTATTGAATAATGACCGGATGTTTGCATGCAAAAAATATTTAATAGCTAATATAGCTGAAATCCGGGGGAAAAAAAATTAATAGCTAATCCCCCCAAATAATATAATTAATACCCAATATATCTCACATGTGGTCCCCCACAAGATTATATATTTAATAGCCAATATGGCTCACATCCGGGTCCCTAAAATATATTTAATAGCTAATATAGCAAACATCCTCTCCTAAAACCCAAAATTTAATAGCTAATAATATGTGCTCCCCTCCCACAAAAAAACAATATTTAATAGCTAATATAGCTTACATCCACCCCGGCAAATTTAATGGCTCACATTCATCCACATAAAAATAATAATAATAATAATAGTTAATATAGCTCCCATCCGTCCCAAAATATTTAATAGCTAATATAGATCACATACGCCTGCCTCAATTTAATAGGTAATATATCTCACCCCCACACCCAAAAAATTTAGTAACTAATATAGCTCACATACACGCCACCCAAAAATTATGAGTTCTCCATATTTAAGACGTAAACAACGAGATACACAAGATAAAGATTGAATCTGGTTTGACGATCCTTCATTTTTTTAGCGTAAATCTTGAGTTACCTCGGTTTTATTTGTTATCCTTCATTTATCTTCCGTTATGTATATATATATATATATATATATATATATATATATATATATATATATATATATATAACA